ATCTGTCCGCCATGTTCTCCCGGAAGCCCCCTGTTTCTCATTTTTGAAGTGAAGGGAGAAAGTGAAGGGAAAAAATCACTTTTCTATGACCAATTCATTCTCACTTTGTTTTTCTAGATTACTTTTCATTGAGAAATTCTAGTTCTGGAGGGACGCTTGAGTCAGTTACTATGCAAACAGCATGTTCCTGAAATCTGTCAAAAGTGTATATATTTATTATCTCTACTGCTCTGAGGCTATTGTAGTTTCACCTTATTATATGCACTTTCATTTTCATATTTGGTTCATAATTTGCATAAAGAAACAGAGCCATTCTTGGAATCCGAAAGAAACTTGTCTAATTCATTCTTCTTTGTAGTGCTGGAATTTTCTTCAGATTATGTCTAACAAATATATCTATTTGATTCTTCTTCAATGTAAAGTTACTTGGAAGTTTACATTTCTCAAGGCATTTTGTTTTACTTGTGCAACAGTTTTGTTGTCAGAAAAATTTTTACAATTAGATAGAATTTGTCGTTGACAACCCATCAGGAGTGACCTAAAGTAAATGATCTCTACTCTGCAATGCAGCTAATTAGTTCTGTTTTTCACTTGATGCTGCATTTTTCAAGAAATGTGACTTTGTTTCTCATTGGATGTAAATTTTTTTGTCTGTTGGTTTTTCTGTTTTCTGAGAACAAGGCCTCTCTACGTAGCCCAGGCTGACCTTGAACTCACTAGGTACCCCAGGCTGGCCTCAGCGATCTTCCTGCCTCAGCCTTCTGAGTGCTGGAATTACAGGTGTGTGCCACCATGCCTGGCTGGAAATAAGTTTTTTTTTTTTTTAAACAAAGAATGTTCTTCTAAATGTCTGGCGGCAGTTTTTCTGTTACTTCCTCTCTCTTTTCACTGCTCCCCTCTCTGCAGTGCTTTTTCTGTGGTGGATCCTTGCCTGGGTGTAAGAGTTCTGAACCTTAGCCCACAAGAATATCAGGAACTCTCCAGAGATGCAGGAGTAGCATCAAGTCAAGCATATACTTTTTTTTTCTTAGAGTCAGTTATTAACTTTAGGATTTGAGTTTATTTAGTTTTTCGCTATGTTTTTAAATTTCCAAACATTTAAATAAGCCGTGTTAGGGAATTTCTGTCCCATAGCAAATGGCAACTAAATTGTTGGGTTACGCTGGATTGTCTTAGGTAGTTGGCCACAATTCTGCATGAAGATGTATTAAAGATAGTCAAGGTTGGTAGCTGTGGGAGGGAGGAGACGAAGCATTGCTGATTCTTCACTTTTTATCACGAGGCATTGTAGGTATCCTCATTCTGCTCAGTACTTTTAAGAAAGAGTTCAGACCTATGGTGGAAAGTGTCTTTAATTTTAGGTACAGAAGTAGCCTCTGAAAAACATGGACAAGGAAAAGGGCAACAAGAGAAAAGTCTGAAGAGCGAGGTCTGAGGAAGGCACATTCAGGGGAGCCATGTGGCCACCTTCTCTGGAGGATCCAGTGAGACAGGTCTTCCAGTGCTGGACGTCAGTCTCAGATTCGATGGGCTCGTTACCTTGGTTATCTTTGGCAGATTAGGGCTTCTTTTGTTTACAGGTCTGTTGTAAGTCCCATTGCTTTCTTTTATTTTCCCCTAAGATACTGATTTAATTGAAGTCTCAGAATCATTAGTGGTTTTCTCTGCCCATGCGTATCGTGGTAGATGTTTTCCAGGGTGGACAGTTGTGGTGGTTTTGTGGCAGAATTTGCTCTGTCATTTGTTATAGAGATAGTCAAGGAAATTAGAATTTTATTACAGCTTTGATTTCCTTAGAATTCCCTTTCATGTGTTTTTTAAGTTTTTATTCAATGTTTGCTTTTTTGTAACCTTTTATTTCTAGTGTACCTTTGTGAATTTGCTGTTTCTTAAATGATCTTGTAAGACTTATTGGTGGTGTTTTTCTAGCTTTGTTAATTGTTTCTATTTTTTGTGTTTTATTTCATGTTTTAATATTTGCCTTATCGTTTATATTTTCCTTGATTTTTGTACTGTTTTAAAAGTTTTTGATTTTCATGTTTAACTCATTAATTTTCAGTTTTGCTCCTTTTAAACACTTAAAGTTATAAATGTTCCTATACATATTATTTTAGCTTTCTCTATCAAATGTGGGTATTTTTCTATTATTTAGATCTAAAATATTTTCTAATCTTCATTGTAATTCTTTATTGATCTTTAAGTTATATGAAAGTATACTTTTAAATTTCTATGCATTTGAGGTTTCGCCAGGTTTCTTTTTGTTACAGTTTTCTAATTTAATTCCCTTGTAATTGGGGAAATGGTTTGGGACTTTGAGATTTGATTTATATCCTAATTTTGTATGTGTGGACACTTTCAGTAAAGGGCCTCTAGGTGCTTGGAAAGGATACATGAATATGCATTCTATAATAGGTGAGGTAACTCACAGAGATATTTTTTCATTATCTGCTTGATCTTTGGATTTCATAAAGTTTGTGAGGGCTTTCTCTTTTTTCTTCTTCTAAGTAATAGCTAACTTATATTGTATTTACTCTATTCCAGGCACTATTTTAAGGTCCTTACATGAATAAACTTATGGTATATTGATCTTTTTTTCCTTGTAGATCTATTACTTGTACTTTATATATTTTAAGAGTTGGTGCATTTGTTACTAAGTACATGTATTTTTACCTTCTTGATCTATAATAATGAATTTAACCTTGAAATCTTTTTTCCCTCTGATATTGATATAGTGGCACAGATCTTTTCTAGTTAGTATTTGCCTGAGATAGTCTCAGCCTCTGTTGTGTATCTTTTTGTTTGAAGTGTGTTTCATAAAGAAACTGGGCAGACCAATTTTTATGTAATTTTATTTACAAATCAGTGTAGTGTGTTGATTAAAACAAAACTTCAGGACCAGATTGAGTTTCATTTGTTGTCTGGGTTGTTCTATCTGGTAACTAGAATTTAAAACTAGGAGTGGGAGGCATTTTGACTTTTCTTTATTTAGACTTTTGACATTTCCCATGTTTTATACTCCAATCTTCACTTCTTTTATTCCACATGATTCCTGAATGCTTCAGATTTGTTACAGATTTTGTCCCTTTCAGAATAACCTGTCACATTCACACTATTGCATGCATCCTTAATCAATTTGTGTTACAGTAGCTACATTTTCTTTCTTGAAAATACACTGAAGTATCTCTAAAGTGAGCATAATAATAATACTGTTTACCTTATAGGTCTGTTTCAAGTTTTCCTTGAGTTAGTAAAGGTGTAAAGTACCTGTACCTCAATAAATGCTTAGATAGGATTGATCTGTTTGCTATTAATACGTTATAGTTTGTAGTTTAACATTTTTGGCCCCTTAAAACTATCCTCTATCCTCTCTGTATTTACCACTATTAATATTGATATCAGATTTATTATTTTTATTTTCCAATTCATGTTTTTAAAATGTCTATGTTTTTATCATCTGGTGATTTAGTAGAGACACTTTTAAATATTTCAATTAAGCATGTATAAAATAGCAGTCAAATTTAATAGAATTTTTTTTAAATTTTTTTTTTTAAAATTTAATAGAATTTAAAAATAATTTCACAGGAGTATATTCATTATTAAACTACATGATAATTTAAGATATAAAATTTTTTATTTGAAGGATGCAGATTATCTCTAATCCAAAAATTCAATATCTGAAATGCATTAAAATCAGGAACTTTTTTAGAGCTAACATGATACTGTTAGTAGAAAATTGCAAAACTGTCATCCTGAGATGATGAATTGCAAATCAAAACAGAGGCATACTAATATATATATATATATATATATATATATATATACCTCAGTCTGTGCATGTGGTGTATATGAAATGTAAGTGAATTTTCTGTTTAGACTTGAGTACCATCCCCAGGTATCTCCTTATGTGTATGTAAACATCCTGAAATCTGAAAGAAGTCCAAAATTCCAAACTCTTGTGGTCCAAGCACTTAGATAAGGGATATTCAACCTATATTTTCACCTAGCTGATATACTGAATTTGAATTAAGAAAATTTTTTTTATTATTTTGAAGGTAGTGAAACACAAAGGAACAAGACAGAACAAAGCCAATTAAGACAGTGCAGTGAAACTGGTCCAGAAAGTCACAACAGGTTATTGGGATAACAGTAATAGATGCCATAGTATATCTTACTATCTTCACAATAGATGTTCTTTCAATCAGGTATCGCAAAATCAAATGAAGTGCAAAACATTATAGAACTTATCAAAACAGAATATTGAATAAAGCAATACAATTAATCAGAGCAAAGCAAAAGGGTGATAACAATATTTGCCTTCAAAGAGATGGTAGAAGGAAATTTCCCCTATTTGCTATAGTGTATATGGTCAGTCTCCCAAGAGATGCTCAGACTTCTGGCTCCCATTTGCTAACGGGGGAGTGGGGAATGAGATGTTTGATTCTCAGCCCGATGCGCTGGTAGACTCATGGCTGCTAACTAGGGAGGCGAGTGGGTTGCTTGGTTTCCCAGTGCCCTAAGTTCCAACATGGTGGTGGATCTCAGGAGATGCTGGCTGCTTGGTTCTCCCCCTGGGGTGGCTGTGGATTTGAATTTCTTACGGAAAGATTAATGTCTCTGTGAAGTGAAATTTTCTGTCTAAATGGGAACTTCTCTGTATGTTAATTAAACTTAGAAGAACATTAATGATGGTAATGGTTGCACAACAATGTGAATGACTTAAATGCCTTTTAAGTGTAAGCTTAAGAATGGTTAAATTTTTTTTATGCTGTGTGTCTTATTATTACATTGTAACAAAACAACATTAGGCATTGTGTAAATGTCTCACATTGAAGGTGGGCATGTTCACTAATGGGAAAATGTAAATCTTAAAGGCACACATATAGAGAATGAGCAAAACATATTAGTGTCAATATGATGACCTATGTTTTCTTTTCTCAACCATGTATGTCTCTTATTTATTTTCTAGTGTGAAATTATTATTATTACTATTTTTTGAACAGGAAGGAAAAACTGATGCGATGCTCTCAGTGCCGAGTTGCCAAATACTGTAGTGCTAAGTGTCAGGTAAGATGCTCAGTTGTGTATCAATGAAATCTTCAAGTTCTTTCCTTATAAATTTTTCCTCCATTGTATGTGCTATTCTATTTCTCTCTTTGAACAGTCTTTCACTTATTTTTTTTAGTTTTAAAAAATATATATATATAGTTTGAATGTTCTGTATCCAAAATGCTCTGAACCAGAAGTTTTTCAGATTTTAAAATATTTGCATAGATTTTACTACTTAAAGTATTCCTAACCCAAGCATGTGAAATGTTTTAGAGTTTGGAGCATTTTAGACTTCAAATTTTTGGGTACTATTGCTCAACTTGTATATAGTAAAAGTTATAAATCTCTGTATGTGTATCTATGTGAAAGTAAATTATTTTTCTACTTCTTTCCATCCTTTATCCCATGTACCTTAATCCTATTTTCCAGAAATAACAACTGTTAATTTTCTTGTGTATCTTTGCAACATTAATTTTGTGCAAGCATATTTAGATATCTCTATTTTATGTCTAAATTTTTCTGGTAAAAATTCTTGCATATTTTGATTTTCTCTTTAGTAATCTGTTTAGAGGAACATTTGCATCATTACATGTATTCCATTACGTAGAATGCACCTTAAGTGCACCATTATGTAGAATGCACCATAAGTATAATTTCCTCATTAAGAAATGCTTTAAAAATTTCCAGCATTTGTTATTGCTGATAATGCCCACAGTATCCATTTTTGTACATTTTTACATAGTTTGTTAATTAATTGTAGACTAAATCTTATTTGTATTGGTTAGTAAAAGGGTAAAAGGCTGTATACATTTTGAATTTTTAAATATAACACCAAATTGCCTTCTAAGAATTTAAGTTAATTTGTAGTGAATACTGTTGTTAATATCTTTGACATTCTTGAAAGGATATATAATTAACATTCAACATGACCTTTTCTTCAAGCCTTATGATTAAACATTTAATAAGAAATATAATTATGCTCTAATGAATTATATCATATTAAAAAGTTTAATTGGATGTTTGGTGTCTGTGTCATTTGCCTTCCTCCCTCTGCTCATTCTTGTTTCCTGTTTTGGGGTGTGTGTGTGTGTGTGTTCACGCGTGCATGTGTCCTGTTCAGACCCATATTAGAGTTTCTTCTTTTCTTTCTTTAAATCTAGGTCAGGAATATCCGAAGAATTTTGTGCCATTTTCTCCTTTGAAATAACTTCTTCAGAATACCAAAAAAAAAAAAAAAAAAAAAAAAAGATCTTAATGGAAAATAAGTCAAGTATACAAAAATATCATGAGTTTCATGTTTTAATGCTATTCCTGTTACTTGTGAGTTGACATCTATCAGAGAAAACATAAACTCTTTGGCCCTCTGTTTCTGAATCTGGTGATAATAAGTACCAGCGTCTACTAGAAATTTATGTGGTAGGCTGTATGTATTCCATTTGATTTTACAAGAATTAGGTATTTCCAAGAGGACTTGAGAAGACTTGTGAGAATTAGGAACTATTCCTACGCTCATTTTATCAGTTAGGAAATCGAGGTCAGAGAGGCAAGCAACTCACTATAGAGCCTATAAATGGTAGGCTGTGGGGCTGGGAAGTGAGTCCAGGTAGCGTGCCTCTGAAATTTTGACTTACAAATCTAAACTTGATTCTTGCTATTTTGAGTAGGTCTAGTTTCCCATTATTGTATTCTTTTGATTCCTGGCTTTTTATTTACTTGATTGATTGGTTACTTGAGTACTGGGGATCCAAGCCAGATCCTTGCACATGGAATGCAAAGTGCTCTACCACTGAACTATATATGTAAGCCCAGCTGTATATTTTTAAATTTTTAGTAAAGATATACTCCATCATCAAAATGTGCAAAATAAAATTTTAAAAATTTAAATTAAAAATTTAATATTCCTAGTAAAAATAAGACAAGAAACCCTAAAATAATTGAATTACTTTCCTCTCATTTTATAAGTCAGATATTCTTTTAAAGATCGTTAGAAATGACAGTAAGAATAAAAAAAGAAGCCGTGCTTTTTACAGAATACATTCCAGAAATGCTGTTTTAGGATATTTATTTCTTTTATTCAGACAAAACTGAGCTACATATTTCTCAGAACTTTGTATTAAGCAGAATGCATATGGAACTGATGAATTATGTTGTTTGAAACACATCCCTAAATATCTTTCTTGGGGTTAGACTGTGTCTCAGTGGTACAACACTCGTCTAGGATGCTCAAGGCCCTGGGTTCAGTTACCCAACACCACACACACACACACACACACACACACACACAAATGCACTTTTTTGGGTACTGAGGATCAAACTTATCATCTTGTGCTTATGCCCTTGAGCTAAATCCCCGGCTCACATTTTCTAATATCAATGACTTTTCTAATATCAGTTACTTTTATTTTCTTCTGTTTTAATGTATATAATTTTCTTCAGTGTTTCTTTCTCCTCTTGTAATATATACAAGGGAAAAGGTCATTATTCAATTAGAATGACTGGAGAGTTTGGTAGGTGGGTATGTCATTTTGATTCATTATGGTATATATATTTTTATTACATATTTTGGCTGTTTATTGTAGCTTCAATAATGTCATTGTTAGAAAACCCACAGAATGGGAAAGAATTTTAGTCAGCAACCCCTCAGACAAAGGACTTATATTCAGAACATACAAAGAATTGAAAAACATCAAGCCCCCCCAAATTCAAAGACCTTGTCCAAAAATAGGCATCTGAGATGAACACACGGTTCTCAGATGAAGATATACAAATGGTAAATAAATACATGAAGAAATGTTCATCACTAGTTACTCAAGAAATGCAAATTAAAACAGTATTGAGATTTCATCTCAGTTCGGAAAGAATAGCTGCCATCAAGCAAACAACTGACAATAAATGTTGGCGAGGCTGCGGGGGGGGGGGGGAAACACTGCTCCACTGTTGGTGGGGGGTGTAGACTGGTGCAACCACTATGGAAATCAGTGTGGAGATTCCTCAGAAGACTAGGATTGGAAGTTACATTCAATCCAGCTATTCCCCTCCTGGATATTTTCCCAGAAAAACTGAAAAGGTCATGTCACAGTGATATATGTGTACCCATGTTCATAACAGCATAATTTGTAATAGCTAAATCTTGGAAACAACCAAAATGCCCATCAATCACAGAGTGGATGAAAAAGATGTGGTATTTTTATACAATGAAATATTACTCAGCTATAAAAAGATGATTTTGAGATTCTTTATAGGTAAATGGAGGTAACTTGAGACTATCCTCATAAATGAAATAAATAAGAATCATATTTATAAATATCACATTATGTCTCCAGTGTAAAAAGTAATAAAAACTATAGGAATAATGATCCAAAATGTGTAATCGCTATTATAAATAAAAAAAGGGAAAGAAAGTGCTCTAAAGGGTATAACTGCATGTATGTGTAAGTGTGTAAGATAGATAACCATATTACTGTTTTTGTTGGATTGTTGAACAGAACTGTTTGCACTCTCACTGTCTGAATGTCTACTTTTTATGCTTTAATTTTGCAATTTAAACAACTATTTCTAAGATGACAATATGTAATTTATCAACTAGTGACTTCTTAGTGTATATCTTTTTGAAATTCTGTATTATTTCTGCCCTTTTCTGTTTTGTTTTTTTCTCTTTAAATAAAATAAAAAAATAATGTCATTGTTAGATATATTGTGGAAGGTGATGGCAAAATACCTAGTAAGGTAAAATATATAACACTAGCTAGAATATGGTTTGTATTTATGTGATTATGGGGCTGGGTTTGTATGTGGGTAGAAGTGGGAATCAAAGACTGGCCAGCATGTATGCATTTAAACTGTTCTATTTAGTTCAACCATAAGGTACAGAGTTAAATATTGTAATTCTTATGGATAGTACAAAGTAGTGTAAAATTAAACTGGCAAATGAGCTGTATACTACAAATAGTAATCAACAGGAGGCAAGCAAGTAGAATGGAAATTGATATATAGAAAGCAAATATGTAGATTAAATCTATAATATGCATACCATAGGGGGCCGTGACCTTGGTTTGTTAACCTAGACTTTGATTTGTGACTCCCCAGGACATTGAGTTGATTCAGAAGTTTTGGATACTTTAGGGTCGTGGTCATCAGTATTTACATTTCAGTTTTTTTTTTTTTTTTTGGCTTTTTCATTTTTATTGGTACCAGGGATCGAACTCACAACTGCCTGCTTGCAAGGCAGGTGCTTATGCTGCTGAGCTAAATCCCCAGCCCCTACATTTCAGTTTTAAGTATAACCAATGCATGAATGTATTTTCATTACAAAATTAAAAACATAGAATCACACAGAGTAAAAATAAAATTCTTTTCTCTATTTTTTCCCAATTCCTGTTTCTGGAGGTAATCTGTTTCATTACTGACATATATATGCTTGATGGTTATTCCATACGCTGTACATATCTGCTCACGGTGACTGTCTCTAGTACTGTTTCTGAAACTGACAAAATATTTTGTCATTATTGACTTTGTATTTTTATCTTGATCTTATTGTGAGATGTCTATCATAGAATTTCTTAGAGGGTAACTCAGACTTGTTTCCACATTGGCGTGGTCAGAATATCTCATGAGACTGAGGAGGAGGAATAGGCTAAGTTTTCATATAAAAAGCATGCTACTCAGGAGGTTGAGGAAAGAGGATCACAAATTTCATGCCAATTTGGGCAACATAGCATCTCTGTCTCAAAATAAAAATAATTTTAATGGAAATTTGGGTAGTATACCTCAGTGGTAGAGTGTTTGCAAAGCATGTATAAGGACATAGGTTCAATCCCTAGTATCTCAAAAAAGAAGGAAAGTAAGGAAAGAAGGATAGGACGAGTAAAGAAAGAAATGTCCGTCCAAAGTAAAAATGACCACTGATAGCAAGTAAACTAGTTTTGAGCAAATTCTCCAAGTCTTATTTCTTCACAATTTAATTTGATGCATAATAGACACATTTCAAAGGGAATTAATTACTGAGGAAAGTAAGAAAA